ACTGAGGTGCAGCCGGCTCCCAACAGGGGAGGGGAACAGACAAGTTGCTGTCCTTTTGTTCTTCAGTCTAGTTGTGGAGGTCCCAAGCCAACTCTTAACCCAACGCGCCACCACTCAGCCGGCCCCCCTGCTTTATTTTCTATTCCTGTAACATAAGTCTTGCCTTGGGAGCTTGATCTGGTATCAAGTTGTGATTAAACACGTCAGGATAGCCAGAGGCCACCCTGCTACCTGATGAATCAACCAGCTTGGCAATAGTGCCAGTAACCAGGAGTGACAAGGGGGCTGAAGAGGCAATTTTTCATCTTGTTCTTTGCCTACATTTCTTCTTCCTAATCTGTTTTTAGGATTACTACAAAACTGGTATCATCAATTGTCCCGATGGCATCTCTATCCCAGACCTTAGAGATACATGTGATTATCTCTGCATTAACTTTGACTTCAACACTATCCGGTGTCAAGATCTGAGTAAGTACAGGGGCAACTGAACTTAGAGTTTGCTTGGAATTGACTGATACCAGCCCATTCCTTCCCTTGCTATAGAGCACTGCGGAAGTGGAGCAGACAAAAGGGAACGTGTAGCGGGTTCTACAGCTAGCTTCACCCCTGAATCACCGAGCTAATTCCTTCCCCTCTTGGGTCCTTGGTGTCTCAGCCTTTTAACAAATACAGATACTGATTCTCAGATACGTGGGAAGGCTCACTAATAAAGTCAAATAGCATAAACTGGCTGGGTTCTTCTTATACTTATGTTTATCATTATTCACTTAGTGTTTGCTCAGTACTTTATAGATATGAACTTATATAAGTCTTACAACAATTAACCCTAAAAGATGGGTGATAACTCATTTAACAAATGAGACTGAGAAATTGGCTTGTTCCAAACTCTCAGCATTAAAACTGAAATTAGAATTGATTGGCCACAAACTCCATGCTCTTATCATTACCTAGGCTTCCTGAAATTAGTTTTTAAATTGCTCCTTGAAGTTCATGATACATTTCCCTGCGTATTCTGTGAAGTTCACTGGATGTGTGGTTTCTCTACTGGGTCTTGTGTACACTTGAAACCAGTCCCTTGGTGTTGACAAACTGCAGGTTATTCCTCTTCTGTGGTACCCTAAGTCCATGAATTGGGGTCCAGAGCATCTTCAGAAGGGGTGCAGCAAGGAGTCATCCCCACATGATGGTTCTCTCTCATAGAATTAGTGTTTATGGTGTGACGCTGCCCAAGAAAACCTCCGTTGATCAGAATGTTCAGGGATTATTAAACAGGAGGAAATGGAAGCGTGGTAGAATGTGAAGCATATCCAACAAAGTCAGCTTCCTTCTCGTCTTGGAGGAGGAAACGATCTGTGCCTTTAAATGGGCCACTTCTCTGAACCGTACCAACGATAACAGCTGTTGCCCAATCATCTGTTTCACTCCGGTAAAGCATGCATTTGGGCACAGAGGATGCTCACCTGCATTTTCTCTCCCCAGGTGCTTTACTGCATGAACTGTCTAATGACGGTGCTCACAAGCAGTTTGATCACTACCTCGAAGAACTGATCCTGCCCATCATGGTGGGCTGTGCCAAGAAGGGGGAGCGAGAGTGCCACATTGTTGTGCTGACGGATGAGGACTCTGTGGACTGGGATGAGGACCATCCCCCACCCATGGGGGAGGAGTATTCCCAAAGTAGGAGCCGCCTGCATGATAACAGATGTTTCAGCAAGAAACATGCTGCCTGGTGCAGCAGCTGCCGTAGAACCAACGTGAATGTTGCTGCCCAGCCAGTGATGGACACTTGCTGCAGGATCACTTCCGTTTAGTGATGCAGGTCTAACTGTTATGCTGGGGAGCACGGCACACGTTGTTACACTTCCCATCGCTCCCGCTGGTGCCTGGTACCATGTCAGCACCGCGGCAGCGCATAAATGGTGTCATTCCTTTCTCCATTCATTTCATTTTTAAATCCTTTTGAATTGGTAATAATCCAGAATCAAAAGGTATAGAAGGATACATCGAAAACTCTTATTCCCAGGGGCTGCCTCATCTACCTAGTTTTCCCCTTTGTTTCTTTTATGTCCTTCCAGATGTGTTCAGTGGACTTACATGAGCAATTACATAGATTTTTTTTTTTTGATACCATATTATACAGACTGTTCTATACCATTTCCTACATAAAAAGCTTCTGTGGTCTTTTTTATAGCTGTATAGTAGTCCATTCCATGACTATGCCATAATTGATTTCACCAACCCTGCTGATGGACATTTAAGTTACAAATTATACATGATGCTTCAATGAATATCCTTTTAAACATAGTCTTTTCACACATGCATATCTCTATAGAATAATAATCCTAGAAATGGAATTTCTGTGTCCAAAGCTTTGTGCTTTTATAATTTTGATAGATGTTGCCAAATTATCCTTCATAAAAGTTGAGGCAGCTTATACTCACAAAACAATACATGGTTTGTTTCCCGCACCCTCACCAAAACAGTGTTTTACTAAACTTTTGTCTTTGTCACTCTGATATATTAAAAAAGCACTTGAGTTTTAACTTAACATTTCTCATTTCATGTATGAGACTAAACATTTTTTTTAAGAGCCATTTTAATTTCCTTTTCTGTTAGCTGTATCTGTGCCTTTTGCCCATTACAAAATTGGACTCTCTTACTGATTTGTGAAAGCTCTGTATTTGTGGCCACTCTCTATAGATATTAAGGAAGTTAGCCCTTTGTAATATGAGTTGCATATGTTTTTCCCAGTTGATTATTTGTCTTTTTAGCTTTGGAAATGGTGGTTCTGGCCAAGTAGGGACGTTTGTATTTTTATGTAGTCCAGGGTATCAATTTTGCTTTGATGGATTCTAGGTTTTATGTCATGCCCAGAAAGGCCTTCCTTATACCCTGAGACTATAAAAATTACTTATGTGGTTTCTTTCTTATAGTTAATTTGTTAACGTTAATCTGTGATCCATCTGGATTTGGAATCAGGACCAAAAGAGATACAACTTTCATTCATCTGATTCTGTTAGCTATCTCCTTCCTCTTATGGAAGTCTTTGCTCCATGACTAAACCTGTTTTGTTTTGTTTTTTCCCAGTTCTTTATAGCTCCAAGCTCTACAGATTTTTCAAATATATTGAGAATCGGGATGTTGCTAAAACAGTGTTAAAGGAACGGGGCCTGAAAAACATTCGCATTGGAATTGAAGGTAACCGTGTCCCAGTCAATATTCAGCTTGCATGGCTCATGGAGTGGGTCGGAGCTATGGCCACAGCTTATGTCCTTAACACTCAGCTTCCAGAGGACCTAGAGAACAGGCACACAGGAAAATTACAGTCCTACCCAAGTTTGAAGGATTCCTATTTTTGTTTTTGTTTGCCCTTACATTTCCCTTTTTATTTCCAGTTGAAAAGCAGCTTCAGGAATAGCTGCAATTTACTGCCTCAGGATAAAGAGCAGTGAGTGCTAAGGCCGCTGGCGGGCTCATAGGCTCACCAGGTAGGAGGGCTGTTCTGCCAGCGGTCCTGGTGAGGACCTTTCTGGGATCTGGAAGGTCCTTCTGAAAACTGTAGCTTGGAGACTCAGAGTTTTAAGTTTATTCTACTACATAACCTTTGGGGAATGTCTGGACATACTGACAGAATTGCTTTAAGTGATCTTGAGCAGTGACTCCCATCTGTGGTCTCCTTGGAAGGGCCTTGGAGACTTGTCCGTAGAGAGTAGAGTGCTGAAGCCATCCTGGTCTCCCCTCACAGGTCTTTGACTCTTGCGTCTTGCTACTCTGTCTCATTCTTGCCCACAGAACCCAGCAGGCCTTCACTGTATCTGACTTAGGTTGGAATTCAAAGTTGGACGGGGTTTTTGAGATCATCTATTAAACTTTCCACTGTGTCCTTCCCTTGTCTCTGTAAACCGCAGGGACAGGGTAATAGGGATCCCCCTCCATGTTCCAAGCAGCCCATCACACTTGTACCCTCAGAACACTCTTCCATGTAACTCATAGGTAACGCCTCCCTCTCTGTCCTCCTGTTTCTAACCTCTGAAGCTACTCTGAATATGAGTTCTCTCATTTCCACGTGACAGCCTTTCAGATAGTTTAGGCAGCATCCCTGTTTTTTTGGCTAAACATCCCACATTTCTTTAACTGGTTCTCATCCAGCACGCCCTCTAAGCAGTAGAATGAGAGGACTGGGGTAGCCGTGCCCTAGCAGGATTTTTGTTCTTAGTACTGCCACCAGTAACTGAAGGCTTCTGCAAGGAGAAAGAGGCTTCTCTCCCCCTTCCTTTAGAAGGGACAGAATTTTGGATTACTTCCCTTCTAGGGGTAGGCCCTCCTAACCTGAGCAGGAGGGGAGATGATTGGGCTGGGAGGGCGAGGTCAGCAGGCAGGCGCTTCCCCGGCAGTTTTCATAGTAGTCTTTGAATTGGGGAGGAAATCGACATGGTCAGGGAGGAGGAAGTATGGAGGCCAGAGTGAGCATTTGCTGAAGTCATGAGAACGGCTCCTTTCCGTTTCAGGTTACCCTACCTGTAAAGAAAAAATTAAGCGAAGACCTGGCGGCCGGTCTGAAGTAATCTATAACTATGTGCAGCGCCCCTTTATCCAGATGTCGTGGGAAAAGGAGGAAGGAAAGAGTCGCCATGTGGATTTCCAGTGTGTTCGAAGCAAATCCCTCACTAATCTGGTAGCTGCCGGAGAAGATGTCTTGGAGGACCAGGAGATACTAATGTATCACCCACCGCAAGTGGATGAACTTGACCGGCTAAATGCCCCCCTTTCTCAGATGGCTTCTAACGACTTTCAGGATTAGGGCCAGCTGTGGTCCACCCCTCTGCGGAGCTCTTCTCTGTCTGGGTTGCCCAAAGCCAGTCCTTCCCATGAGTCAGAGACATGCTTCTCCCTCATCCTTCCCTTTTCTCCCCCAGTTAACGTGTGTCCTTTTCAGTATGTCTGCACCTCTGGCAGAGGATGAAAAAGCGCTCACTGGGAATTAAGCGACCAGCTTGGCAGCAGCCCTGGCAACTTGAAAATTTAGGTCTGGTGCTGTTCACTGAGTCTTTGCATAACTGCAAAGCAGGGAAGGAAGTCAAAACCCCTATTGCCTCATATTCAGCAAAGCAGGTCTCATCCTTTATGCTTTGTTCTTGGCTTTTGTTCTGTTTTCTTTTATACCAGGCACATTACTTAGCAGCAAAGGGACCAAACTGAAAAGGAGACAATCTCTCTTCTGCGAGTAGGCATTAATGGGATAGTGGTTAGAGGTAAATGAAGATGCTCTTCCTGGTGGCACCTGCACCCAGATTGCATCTGGATAGAACTAGGCTTATTCAGGATGTGTAAAAGGAAATTCTTAAGCACTTAAATTCAGTTTTGTTTTTTCATTAATGCAGCAAACAACCCCAAACCACACAGACAGATTCTGTGACAGGAAGGATAATGGCGTAACAGGGTTTATGAACCCTTTTTAGCTTCATGGTGTTTGAGCCTAAATCAGTTATTCATTTGTAATGAAACCCACAACTCAAGTAGAAGAGCCTCTCCACATCAGGCCACTTGGATTATCCTGGTTTAGAATCTGGTGCAAAGCCGTAGGTCTGTGGGTGAGGCTGGGAGCCCTTAGATATGGCTACAGGCTTTCAAGATGTGGGCAGAAACTTCTCACAAGTGCTCAGTTCTCACTAGAAAGACTTGTAAGAGCTCCAGGGAGGGAGCACTTGGGGCAAAGCTGGGGGCGGAAACCACCTTCCCAGGCCTTGTCCCAGTACAGGATTTTTCTTTGTATATTCTTTTCATAGTATGGAGTTTTTCATACTATGGGATATTTCCGTTTTTGAAATAGCCTATCAGCTGCTCACACTGGATAAGAAAAACCACACTCATGTCATCCCCAAAGGAAGGATGAGTTGAAGGGAAAGGAGACGTAGTTTTGTGTGATCTGTCCGCTGTATTAACCGTGCAGAGTGCATGACAACCCAGGTCTGTCTCCCCAGCAGCCCGTGCTGAACCACCTTCCTTCACGTCTCCATGGCTGCTAGCAGTAGAGCTGAATTTAAAGTCTAGAGCCAGATGTTAAGTGTCACGGGGTTATCTCCTGTTTTGTGTTAGAGGTCAGCCTTCCACTCACCTACCCAGAGCATTTCCTCATCAGATTACAAGAGGCACATGGTTTCCTTCAGGCTCTTCAAGATAAGAAAGGACTGGTTTTCTTAGGTTCCATAAGATACTGCAGGGCAGGCTACTTGATTCCGTTTATTACTGCCCTCGTCACAACCCTCCAAAGGTAAAGTGAGATGGGTGTTGAAAGCTGCTCTTTCCAGGCCTGAATAACAAGAGTGTTAAGTGCTTTCTCTGCATGTGATCATCAGAGAGCATCAGTGGAAATCGGGGCTCTGTTCCTTCCTCTGAAGACGTAACGAGTGAAATGGAACCATCCCCTTACAGAGCTCTGATTACCACTGGCTTCCGTTGTAAGGCCAATGGCCAGGGTTAGGGTTATTTTGTAGCCAGAGAGTAGTTTTATTTCTGTGAAACTAATTGGCTCATATCTGAGGTCAGGTCGGGCTTGAACCTTTATCAGTACTTCCACTCATGCCCACTAGTAGTTGACCAGCCCAGGTAATTGTTTAATGGTGCTTCCTGACACTTTTCAGTTGACTTCCATGTCATTACAAAGGAAATTTGCATTGACTGTGTAATCTATGATAACGTATAATGTCTGTTATATAGCTTATGTATTGTTAACATTTAGTAAGTGTAAACACGCTGCAGCTAACTCTTAAAACTAACTTAGTCTTTGCTTAGGTAAAAAGCCAGATACGAAAGTGTGGCATGTACATAACACTTTTTCTATGTAAATGATTCATTTCCTCAGGCTTTCAAGAACTAAGATATTTTTCCCCCAGATTGGGTTAATGTGCTTTTGACCCCAACCCTATGGGGTTTGAGTAAACCAAAAATCTGTGGATGAAAATCTGCCATGGTCACCAGGTGGTGGTGACTAAGGAAAAAACTGGGCCCTCAAATTCCTTCTGGTGAAGAGGGACGTTTCCTGTGCACCCCACGCCCTCCCCGCCTGGAGCTCAACTAATTTGGTGGCTCCCCTCAGCCATAGCTGCCGTTCCCAGTGGCAGGACTGCTCAGTCCTCACAGGGACAAGGGCTGGACTGTGGTCATTCCCTTTAGTCAGTTACTGGCCACCTGGGCAAAAGGAGGCGTCTCTGATAAAAAAGGTGGGACTCAGGTTTGGTGTTTTTTCTAAGTGCCTAAATAAGTAAGCCAGGCTGTTTATACAGAAACATTTCCAGGAGGAAATGGTTTTACCCAGACTGTCTTACTTAGAGGTGTCTCAGCAAGCCAAGATAAACCTGAATTTGAGGTTTAGAATGGGAGTTTGTGTCTGCATCTTCTCATGTATAGTTGGTTAGGAAACGTTTGCCATTGAGTCAGAAGCAGTGGGCAAGGAGACAGCATTAAAACGTGCCTAGTGAGATTACTTAATGGTTTCTCCACAGTGGAGGGAAGGGATTGAAAGAATGACAGCAAAAAGGGTAAGAAAGAAAGTAGCTGGGTTTACTGCACATACAATATGCAAAAGCCAGTATTATTTTAAACTAAAATCCAAGAAAATGGTGTGATATCTAATGTATACAAGTCTATGAAAATACTGGGGAATAAGACCAGGAAGGATGGATATATCTGCAGTGTTCCAGTGGGTCCTTGTGGAAGTAAAATCACACCACAGGCTTTAATTTAATGTGGAGTCTTCTGGAGTTAAAATAGAAAGTTAAGGGGTTTTAGTAATTTTTCCAGTGCCACTTCTTGCCATCGTTTTCACATTGTTGAATGGGCATAGTGAGTTCAGAAAGCAGACCTGATGCCCTCATGGGAGATGGAGCCACATACGTGCTCAGGGTGGGACCGCCTCGCAGAACGGAACATTTTCTCTTGAAGGCAAAATGCTTATACGTTTTGCCTCTTTAATTTGTATTTAAAGTTGCACATGTTCACCTACCAGTGTTTACGAAATCCTATATTTAGGATGCTTTTTTTTTTATAATAAAATATTATCATTTGTGTCCTTGTTGTTTTTAGCAGAAAATAAAATCAGAAGTCAAGATTTTAAGAGGGACTAAAAGGAGCAACACCCAGACTGCCTGAACAGTGTCTTCCTTTCCTGCAGCAGCAGGGGCTGGCCTGGAGCCTGTTGTTTTTATCCCACTGTGCTACTTCTCTATAACTCTAGGTTCCAGAGCCCTAATGGTCTCCCTTCTGTAGTTCCTGGCCAACTTGCATTCAAGACCCCTTGCACGTTCAAACCCAACTAAGTAGGACCCCACAAGGTCAAATGTAAATTTGAATGGTAGGAGGACTTAAAAACTGATGTCCCAGTTTTGGTTTAAAGCAAGTGAGGAACCGAGACAGCAGTGAAAGGCAGGTGAGAAGGTAGAGCCCAGGCAGGTCCCTTGGAAACCCTGCTGTAGAGCTGCCTGCTCATCCTTTGGTCTCTGGCTTGGACCTACTCCAGTCAGGTGTCCACTGAGCTGCCTTGCTTACCAGTGATTTCATCTTCACAGAGCCTAAAGCAAGCCTGTGCCTCCCTAGCAGGCCTGCCTTTGTCAGCACAGAGGTTGATGTTCTCTGAAGACATGGCCTGTTGAGTGTATTCTGTGCCAAGCACGTCTGGCCCAAGGGACACTGACTAGGACACAGTTCCTCCCTTCAAGGGGCTTTTATAATCATGTGGAGAAGACATCTATTAACAGTCCAGATGGACTGACATCTATTAACAGTCAAGCCCAAAAGGATGGAGCAGCCAGTTTTTACTGTGAGAAGAGTTCACAAGAGAATTCTACAAGTGACACTGACCAAATTGTGAAGGATGAATACTAGTTTTAGATCCAAGGGGAGGGAGGCGGTGTTCCAGGCCAACCCAAGTGTGTGCGCAAATGTGGAATAGCTGCTTATTGTTATCAGGGAAGTGGATGGGGTGATGCAGAGATGAGGCCAGAGGAAGGCAAGACTTGTACCTCGCACCAAGGTGTTTGGTCTCATTTAAACTTGGGAGCCCTCAAGGGTTTTATGCAGGAGAGGGACATGATCAGACTTGAAATTTAATACAGTTCCTTTGGCAGCAGGGAGGACGACAGACTTGAAAAGACCCGTGCAGTGGGCTTAGCAAGGAACGATGAAGGCCCTGGTGGGGTGGATGGCCATGCCTGCAGCTGTACATGCTTACGGACAGGAGTGTAAAAAGTTTTCAGCTTGGGCCAGCCGAGTGGCTCAGTTGGTTAAGAGCGTGAGTTCTGAGCAACAGGATCACCGGTTCGATTCCCACCATGGGCCAGTGAGCTGTGCCCAAGCTGAGCTGCTACTGAGTTGCCAACAGCTGGCAGGATGGCTCAGCTGGTGAGAGCACGTGCTCCTAACAACAAGGTTGCCAGTTCAATACCAGCATGGGATGGTGGGCTACGCCCACCTGCAACTACGATTGAACACCGCACCCTGAGCTGAGCAGCCACCAGCTGCCGACGGGCGGCCAGATGACAACTGGACTTGGAGCGGACCCTGCTGCGCCCTCCACAACTAAGATTGAAGGACAACTTGGCTGTTCCCCTTCCCCAATTCCCCAATAGAATCTTAAAAAAGTTTCCGGCTTGGATAGCTTGGCAGACTGAGCTAGAAAAAGGTTATGAAGACAAAGGGTGGAGGGGGGGCTCTGCACAGCCTTAGTCTTGAGCCGCAGGAGGCCTTTCACATGGCACTTCTAGCAGGCACTTGGCTCCGTGGGACCTAGAGTTCTGGGGAGCGGGCCAGGTAGACACCACCACAAAAACGTGGTGGTTGAAGCCACAGTATGGGGCAGATCACCCAAAGATCATGGATGAAAAGAGGGCAAAGTCACTGCACGAGGAACACCAGCATTTAAGTGGTGGCAGGGGACTACCAAGGAGCAAGTCAGGTGGGAGCAGAGTTGTTTTTTGAAGTCAACAGTGTTGAGTGCAGCAGGATGATCAAGTGAGACGAGGGCTAAAGAGAAGTCAATGGATACACAGGATGCCAGTGACCAGTAATGATGATTTAAAAAATGCCAGGGGCCAGCCAAGTGGCACGTTGGTTAAGAGCTGGTTTGGGACACCACAGGGCCCCGGTTTGGATCCCACATATGAGGGGCCAGTGACACTGCCCTCCACAGCTAAGATGCTGAACAACAGCTCAACCTGGAGCTGGGCTGCTGTGAGTCGCCGGCGACGGTGTAGGCTGCAG